TGTCTTCCCACACTTCAGATTCATTCCCTCCGGGTTTTTCTGTCCTATCTGCCCGTATCAGATATTTGCTCTCGTCTGCATCACTGCTAAAGTAGCTTTCTCAAAGAGTATGTCCCTGATCACCATATCTAAATATGACCACTCTTTCTCTTACCTCCTATTTTCTTCATAGAACTTAGCTAAAATTATTTGTGTGTGGCCTTGTCTTTGTAAAGTGTGAGGTTAAGGGACTTTGTCTTCTTGATTGACATAAACATTGCCTGGCATATAAAGTTCTCAGTGACTCCTGGTGGGATGAGTCATGGGCTCCTGGAAACCCCTTCTTAGGTTGTGATGAATGGAGTCATTGCTATTGGTGTTGCAATGGTGACCTCCTTGCTTAGAAACCAGAAACCAGTCTATGAACTGGTGATGCCTAGAGGAGAAAAAAGTTGGTCCTGCTAATTGTTACTTGAAAAAACAAAAGCTACGTGACTTCCATTTTCTTTACCAAGGGGCAAGCTGACTGCCTGGTAATAGGTCTATGTCATCTTTCATATTCTATTTGGCTACATATTCTATTTCTCCCTTGTAACCTTCAGATCTACCTGCCTCCTTCCCTCCCTCCATTCTTCTCTTCCATTTTTTTCTCCCAAACTTGCTGTTCATTTTCCTTTAAACTAGATTTTTTTCCGAGTTGGATAAGGTGGGGCAATAGAGTGTGATTTACCCTGAGATTGTTGAGAGCGCTGGAAAGGAAATGGGAGGGAGGTCCTTTAATTAAGTCTTCCAGTGTCAGATGAAGACACAGGCTGAGGGGCTATGATTTCCCCAAGGTCTCAGTTAGTGACAGGATGAGGACTTCAAGCCCATATTTTCTAGTTCCCACTCCAAAGCCACATGCGCCTAAATCGGTGCCCAAACCACTACTTAGGTGTTGACTGACCAAACAAATTACATGACAAAAATCTTCACTCAAATATTTGGAGAATTAAGTGAAAATGCTGTTTGACATATGGAAGTCTTCAGTGTGTGAGAGCTTTGCGTTCCCGCCCCCTTCTCTCCTGGCAATGTACCCTCACGGTGAAAAACTCGTTCCCCTGGTTTGGCTCATGTTTATTTCCTTCCCTGCATTCAACTGTGGATGCTTTTCAAAGCTATTGGCTTTTAGCTCTACCATAACCAAAATTGACTAGAAAGGGGAAAATTAAAAGCTTTCTTGTAAAAAATTACTCTAATTTTTAAAGACTGATGTTTCCTTGTCATTGAAGCATGTATGTCACTTTTCACTTTAGAAATGTAATCATTTCTTTAAATTATAGCAATACCTCTACCATATAGAAAAATGGTCATTATTTTTGATACAGGAGTGATGTTTCCAATTTTAGATAAAGTGAGAAGGATTTAAACTACTGACTTTTATACTATCCAGCTTCATGTGGTTCCTAATTGAATACTTACAAAATAAAACAAACAAATAAAAAAATTTTTTTTTTTTAATTACACAAAATGTCAGCAGAGGGAGCTATTGAAGTGTGAGTATACGTATTTTCCATTGTCCTGGCTGAGGTTTTTACCTTTGCTTTTCTTTTAAACTATAATATTTTGACTTAGACTTTCTCATCTCATTGACACTCCAGAAAAGTTTTATCAGATGCAAAAAATGAGGCATTTTTAATGTCTGCCTCCCTTCAATTCTCTTATCATCCCCAACATTCCTATAACAGTTGTTGGTATAAGAAAAGTAAGGACAACATTACAGTTGTAATTTAAGAAACAAGAAGACTCCATTAGAGCAAACCTGGGTCATCAGGGTCAGCTCCTCTGGAGGACATCGCCTTCAATTGTGTATTTGTCAGGCGTCCTGGAGACCCCTGCAGGGCTTCAAAACGCCTACAGGGCTTACTGTCCTGTGTGATCACTATCACTCAGTTACATGTGGCAGAATAAGAGACCCGAAAGGGTTAAAATTCATAGCATTTAATGAAAAACCCTTCTGGGGGGAGGGCTTGGACTAGATCGTGTGTGCATGCATACCTGCATGTGTGAGTATAGCATGTGGGTGGCTGGTTGTGAGGGAAGGGAAGTGGAAGAAGTTTGTTTAGGGCTTCCTCCACCGTCGTCATCAGGTCCCTTCCATGGGTGTGATTGACTTCTGCTCTGACGTCTTTGTCTCTCCCGACCCTACCTGTTGGCCTTGTGTCTCCTAACTGGACCCTCAGCCTTGGAGTGCTCCCCTCTCCAAGCTCATCCTCCACACTTCAGCCGTGATCTTTATTTCTTCACCACTACATACTCTGAATTCCTCTTCTAGGAATTTCTCCTTTTGTGCATAAGTTCAGTGTGGGCGTGTGGGGATAATCCTTGAAGTATTATTTGTAATAGCAAATTAAAAACAGGAATGGCCCTGCCCAGTGTTTCTCAGTGGTAGAGTGTCAGCCCATGCACCAAAGGGTTGCTGCTTTGATTCCCAGTCAAGGCACATATTTGGGTTTCAGGTTCGATCCCCAGACCTGGTCGGGGCATGTGCGGGAGGCAATTAATCAATGGGTCTCTCTCACATTGATATTTCTCTCTCACTCTTCCTCCCTCCCTCCTTCCCTTTCCACTTTCTAAAAAGCAATGGAAAAAAATATTCTTAAGTGAGGATTCACAAACAAACAAATAAACAAACACAAGGCTGAATCTGTTTATAGAAAAATAAATTGTGAAATGTTTAACAAATACTATATAGCATTAATGCTGATTGTGGGAAGATGTTTACATCTTTTCCTAAATTAAAAAATAATTCGGCATATATGATCTATATGATCTGTATTATGAGTTTTAAAATTTAACAAATAATTGAAATGCAAGATTTACACATAATTCTAATACATAATTTAAAGCATTTTTTAAAAAAAGATTTCATGTATAAAGTTTCTGGAAATATACACAAGACATTCATAAAAATGGCTATGTCTGAACAAAAGGTGTTAGACTTGCTGGGTATAGGAGGAGGAAAGAGGAGAGATTTTACTCTTTGCCTTATATCTTTCTTTGATTTGAACTATCTACAAAGAGCTTATACTTAGAATTGCGCTAATTGAAATTTAAACAAATAAATGTACTCATCTTCCAGAATTGAATCCCAGCATCAGTGTCTTCCTAAAGCCTTTCTTACCCTTTGGTCTGATTTAGAGAGTGATCCTTTGTGGTCACTAAATTAGACTCCTCTCTCTCTGGGAGGCAGCTTCATGCATAGAACCAGTAGGAGCTTTGAGGTCAGGCATCACTGGGTAAAAGTCCCCAGCTCAGCCTTTACCTGCTGGGTGATACTGGGCAAGAAATTTAGCCTCCTTTAGCCTGAGTTTCTCCACCATGACAGTGGGAATGTTGATGCCATTCTTGCAGGACTATTGTGAGGGACAGAGCGAATTTATGCAAAGGTGCCTAGTCTGCTGACCAGCAGGTGGGGTGCCCAGTGAGAGGTATCAGGTATTTCTTTGAGAACGGAACTTGCTTTCTCCAGTCTTCTAACTTTGACAATTTGTAGAATAAGGGCAGTAATGCTCTTACATCAGATGTTTCCTTTGTGGCATGACACCCTTCTCTAGACTTCTGTGTCAAATTGCACCTGTACTATGTTTCATTCTTTTCAAGCTGTGGGCTCAGCTAGCTCTTTGGACGAACAATCTTGATTGTGGCTGAATACCAAAGCCTGCTGACATGTTTCTAACAGGCCTCTACTGGCTTAGCTCAAGGGGGAACCTGATGGTGACACCCAGCTGCCTCCTTAGGAAGAGCACAGTTATGGAACATTCTGAATGAAGATTTGGATTCTCAAATCAGCTATCTGGGCAGTTTCTCCCATTGATGGTGTGAGTTTTGTCTGCTCAGCGTGGAGCAGAGAAGAACAGCCAAGTTGTGCTGCTCCTGAGGGCATCACCAGTCCACATCAGAGAGACTGTGGTCTTGTAATTTTGACAATGCCATCCCCTCTTAGGAATGACCCCTTTTTAATAAGCTTTTTTTTTTTTTTTTGAAATTGTAAGCAGCATTTGTCCTATAGCAGAGTCTTGTCAATGCAAAATTTTGAATGAATGAATGAATCTCTAAGTTTTGCCCAAGTCAGATAATATTCCCAAGCATCTAATTTTATGTCATTTTGTTTAATGAGGTATAACCACACATTTTCTTCTCCTTTTTGAGAAGCATTTAGATGGAAGAACCACTGATCAACTTGATTGTTCCATAAAGATATAAATGCTAGTGGCAGAGTTCACTTGTTTAGAAAATGCTTCTGGAAGCTGGGACTGCATTAATATGGTAAGGGGATGCATCCAGGTGAGTGAAATACATGCCAGAAATAGATCCTGTAAGAAGTCAGTGCTGCCTGTCTCCTTCAGTTCTCCTCAGCAACAGGCTAGAAGTGTGCTTGGTTTTAGCTTTCTGTTTCTTTTGATACTTCACTTTTTATTCAGTAACAACAAATGCGTTGTTTCATCTTCCATTTTTGATCTCTGTGTTAAACCTTGCCCTCCTCCTTTTCCGCCCCTGTGCCAGGAAGCTAATCTTGAGAACTAAGATTGTTATCCCAGGAAACGAGTCAGTGAAATTGTGCCTGCATAAAAATAGCAGCAGTAGAATCTGTTTTTAATGAAATGCATTGTTCTAGCAAGAGCCCAGCACTAGCAAACAGCTCAGATGATTCTCCCAGATCACCACTGCCCAAATCTTTGCCGGTCAAGTCCATGTGCCAAGTTATATCCCTGGGAGGAAATGCTCCCTTAAGTACATCTCCAGTATGTCTATTTGGAGTGGTGGATAAAACATGGTCGACTGGGAGGTAGCGTTTACCTTCCCTTAGAATTGAGAGGTAGAGTTTATCTTCCCCTAGAATTTCGAGGTAGAGTTTATTTTCCTCTAGAACAGTGATTCTCAACCTTCTGGCCCTTTAAATACAGTTTCTCATGTTGTGACCTAACCATAAAATTATTTTCATTGCTACTTCATCACTGTAATGTTGCTACTGTTATGAATCGTAATGTAAATATCGGATATGCAGGATGGTCTTAGGCGACCCCTGTGAAAGGGTCGTTCGACCGCCAAAGGGGTCGCGACCCACAGGTTGAGAACCACTGCTCTAGAATCTGCCCTGCCCTGTGACTGCTTAACAACAGAAGGTCGTGCAAGTGACATTTGCCTAAATGGGTCTCAGCCTAAGAACATCTGGAAGCTTCTGGTTTTACATTTGGGAGCCCTGAATAGTCCTACAGAAATCTGGCTACTCTGTTGGCGAGACCACCTGCCACCATGTGGAGAGAAAGACCAATCCATCCCAGGAAAGCCTCTGAAGGGCTTCAGTCTCACTCCCTCCTCATTACAGCTTGGTAAGAGATCTGCCACAAAAACATGTCACATGTGGGTTTGGGTTTGGGGTGGGTAGAAGATGGAAGGGACTCAGGTGATTGTAAGTGAGGCCAGGAAGGACACCAGGGCTGCTGTCTTTGGACTGTTTCCTGACTCCACTGGGGAAGGTGAGGCAGTCAGCATGTCCACACTTCCCTGGGCCTCCTGGTTCTGTCAGCTTCCCAGCTTCAGCCAGGGCCCCAGGATTTCCACATAGTCAAGGTTTGTGACACACATTCTATCGCAAGGGACAAGGTCAAATACATTTACTTTTTCCTACACAAAAATCAGTTTAGAATCATGCAGATTTTGGATTTGGGACTATAATTTTTTGTACAGTGATTTTCATCCTTTTTCCCCCTCCCATATCCACTAGCTATCTTTTTTCTTGTTGATGATAGAAGTTTATACCTGATTCACCCAGATGAATGAAATCTTCAAGATTGTAATAGCTTCATCGGTGGTGTGAAATTTGCTTTTTTGTTGTAATACAAGACACTTATGTATTTAATAACTTGGCTTAAAAAACCAGTGTGGGTGAAAAAGGGACCATATACTAAACCTGACAAGCTCAGGGGAGGCCCACATGGTGGGCCTTACAAAAGTAACCGCATAGGATGATCTGAACATAAAAGTGAGTCATGGCAGGTAGTCATGTCCTAGGCCTGTGGCTTCCTTGACAAAGGTCATTCTTTACCATCAATGAGCCTGTTTATTATCTTTTGGCATCTAAGATTACATACCTTTGAAATGTCACAGTAATCTTCTTTTTCAGAGTCTGCAAGGCGCCAGAATAGGAGACCACAGGACACTTCACTGTTCTCTTGTTCCCTGCATACCATCTCTATGTGCTGTAAGTGTTAGCAATCCTGTACCACACACGGAAAGGACGTGTGTCTCTCCAATTTTCTTTTTATTTGATCTCAGAGATTTCCCTGTTTTGCTTTCTCCCGCCCCTTTAATCTACCACCAGTGGATTTCATGTAACCTTCCTTATGCCGCCTCCTTTTATTCTAATGTACAAAATAAGCTGTAAAAATGCCATTCTCTGGAGCATTTCCTCAATCCATTGAGATTTTGCTTCCTTGCCAATTTTCATCAGTTTGGCTTAAATAAACTCATCACAATTCTCTATCGGTTTGGACGTTTCTTATGTTGACATCAATATCTCCAGTCCCCTCTATACTCTTCCCTGATCACATCCTTCCATCTGTTTCCAATAGGTATCACCATCCTAAATTTAATAGTTACCAATCTCATTATTAGTATTGTTTTGCATATTGGTAAACTTTACAGAAATGTCATTATACTGCATTTTTCTCCTGTAGCTTGCTTTTTGTATGGTTCAACATTATATTTATGAGTTTCATCCATCTTGATACAGATAGCTGTATCCACTGATTTTTACTTTTACATAATATCCTGGCATTAGCTTACATTGCAATTTTTAAAATCCATTATCTTCTTAACGGATATTTAGGTTGTTTATTTTATTTTGCTGTTAGAGATAAGATTGTTTTGAACATTCTTATGCATGTCTCCTTATAGATATAGAAGAGTTTTCTCTAGGGCACAGATTTAGGAATGGATTATTGGTTTTAGGGTATGAACTTTTTCAGCCTCATTGGATTTTGTCAAATTGTTTTTAGAGTTTGTTGTCATTGTTTATATTCATACCAGCAGTGTTTAAAAAGTCATGTTGTTATTGAATAATGGGTGGAGAAATCGATTAAACATTTTCCCTAAAAGACATACACATTGCCAACAGGTACAGGAAAAGGTGCTCAGCAGCTCTAATCATCAGGGAAATGCAAATCAAAACCACAACTGCAATATCGCCTCACACCTCTTAGAATGGCTGTCATCAAATAGACAGCCGATAACAACTGCTGGCGACAGATGTGAAGAAAAGGGAACTCTTGGGTAATGTCGGTGGGATGGTAAATTGGTGCAGCCACTATGGAAAACAGGACAGAAGTTCCTCAAAAAATTAAAAATAAAAAGAGCATATGATGCAGCAATTCTATTCTGGTGATATATCTGAAGAAAATGAGACCACTTTCTTGAAGAGATATCTGTACTCCTATGTTATTGCATCATTATTTTAAATAGCCAAGACATGGAAACAACCTAGTTGTCCACTGATGGATAAGTTAATAAAGAAGAGGCACACACACACACACACACACACACACACCCGGTGTAATTTTATTCAGCCATAGAAAATAGGGAAAGCCTGCCATTGTGACAACATGGATGGACTTTGAGGGCATTATGGTAAGTGCAATAAGTCAGACAGAGAAAGAAAAATACTGTAGAATCTCACTTATATGTGGAATTTTAAAAAATGAAATGATAGACACAGAGAACAAGTTGGTAGTTGCCAGTGGCAGGGAGTTGGGGGTGGAGGAACTGGGTGAAGGTACAAACTTCCTGTTATAGCTTCTGGGGATGTAATGGTGACTATAGTCAACAATATTGTATTGTATATTTGAAAGGTGCTGAGAGAGTAGATCTTAAAAGTTCTCACCACAGGGGAAAAAATTGTAATTTTGTGAGGTGATGAATATTAACTAAACTTATTGTGGTAATGATATTGCAATATACACTGAGAGGCCAGATTATTATGACCACCCCATCAGTACTTCATTGGGCCACCTTTTGCCTCCAATACTGCAGCGATTTTTCTTGGCATTGACTCCACGAGATGTTGAAAGGTGATGCGAGGAATCTGACACCATGCCTGATGAATAGCACTGCCCAGTTCTGTGAGATTTGATGGTTGTGGAACCAGCTGCCTGATGGCTCTTTTAACTTCATCCCACAAATGCTCAGTTGGATTGAGATCTGGTGATTGTGGGGGCCACCTAAGCAAGGTAAAGTCTCCCTCATGTTCTTGAAACCACTCCTGCACAATACGAGCACCGTGGCATGGCACATTGTCTTGTTGGAAGAAGCCATCTCCATTGGGATACGCCATCAACATGATAGGATGAACCTGATCAGCAACGATACTTAGGTATGTTGTGCTATTCAGATGTTGTTCCACACGAATTAAAGGGCCAAAATCATGCCAGGAAAACATGCCCCAACCCATAACACTGCCCCCACCAGCTTGAAGGGTTGTACTCATGCATGTGAGGTGCATGCTTTCATGCTGTTTCCGCCAAATTCTCACTCTGCCATCTGCATGATGCAACTGGAAATGTGATTCATGGGACCACATGACTTTTGTCCAATGCTCGACTGTCCAATCCTTGTGTTCCTGTGCAAATTGGAGACGTTTTATCTTGGTAACTGCAGACAGCAAAGGTGTTCGAACAGGCTTTAGGCTTCCATATTCCATACGATGCAGTGTACGGCTAATTTGCCTACAAACATCAGGTGGTCATAATAATCTGGCCACTCAGTGTATACATATATCCAAATCATGTTGTACATATAAAATGAATGCAATAATATATGTCAGTTATATCTTAATAAAACTGGGGGAAAAATTCCCATTGTTCCTCATCATTTGATAAAATTTTCACCATCTTAGAGTGTTGACTGATGATAGAAATGTAAAAAAGTAAGATAGTAAAATAGAGTAAGTTGCATATAGGCACAACCCAGACACAGATAATAGTGGAGTAAAGGCCTGAGGAGGGTACAGCTGTGGAGAGGGGGTCAATGGAAATAAAGGGTACATCTCAAAAAGAATGAGTTTCAGTTTGTGCAACGGAAAACAAAAGCAAGTTAACAGAGGTCCTCTGTGTCTAGAAGCATTAAAAAGTGCAGGGAAAGAAGGGGCAGTCGGGAGCATCTTCTATTTGAAATAAGGCAGGTGAAATCCCAGAGGATCAAGCCGCTAAGCTGAGGCGTGGCTGGTTCTTGGTGCTTCTTCTATACTCATAAAGTGTAAAAATGGCACTTTTTCCCCCTCACAATTACCCATTACCTGCCTACTTAGCAAAGGAATCACTTTCTGATAACTCTTCACAACACGAAAATAAATTCTACTAATCCCAATGACAAGATTCTCTTTGGTGTCCTGGATCTCTGTTAACTATGAAATATTATGTAGAGAAAGTATTTAAAAGTATATATTTGGAGTTATCAGGGACTTTTAACATCTATCTTTCTATCATCTATTTCCACACACATAAATATATATATACTATATCATACCATGTATAAATATTTCTGGACAGTTAAATTATTTTTAACAAAGAAGCCCTGACCTGTTACTGGAAGGTGATGTGACCAAAACAGAAATCCTAAACCTAAGCTTTAATTCTGCCCTAAATCCAAAGAAAGAAATGTAAATCTTATAAACAGCAGGAGAAGAAATGAATGTTTACTTTTGCTTATATGTAACAAGTAATTGTTTTCATCAGAAAATGTGGCACTAATATGTGTTACTGGAGAAGGCTTAAGTTCCCATATTTGAGGGGAAAAGGTAAAGTAGAATAACTTAGATAGTAAATTAGCCTTTGAAGCATTTTTTTGTTTTCCTGGCTAGGGTGTTTAGGAACGATTTCTCGAAGAAGCATGAAGAAACATTTGTGATTGCTCTAATGAGAAATGTTATTAGCCCTAGACGGTTTGGCTCAGTGGATAGAGCGTCAGCCTGGGGACTGAAGAGTCCCTGGTTAGATTTCGGTCAAGGGCACATGCCAGGACTGTGGACTCAATCCCCAGTGGGGGGCGTGCAGGGGGCATCCACGTGTGTAACCTTCCAAACAAATAATTCTAAAGATGCTCTTTCATATCTTCCAAATTTACACTAAATGAGTTTAAGTTTATCTGCAAAGTTGCAAGTAGAGAAGTTTAAACATATACAGTTGACCTTGAACAGCAGGATTTAAACTGCACTGGGGCACTCATATGTGGATTTTAAAAATTAAAAATGACCCTTCCTATCCTTGGGTTTTGCATCTGCTGGATTCAATCAGCCAGGGATTGAAAACTATTTCTGCATTCCCAACCACAGATTCCCAACTAAGGATGGAAAATACTGTTTCCCAACCATTGTTTGTTGAATCTGCCAAAAGCAGACTCTAGAGCAGTGATAACGAACCTTTTGAGCTCGGCGTGTCAGCATTTTGAAAAACCCTAACTTAACTCTGGTGCCGTGTCACATATAGAAATTTTTTTGGTATTTGCAACCATAGTAAAACAAAGACTTATATTTTTGATATTTATTTTATATATTTAAATGCCATTTAACAAAGAAAAATCAACCAAAAAAATGAGTTCGCGTGTCACCTCTGACACACGTGTCATAGGTTTGCTATCACTGCTCTAGAGTCAACGGTTATATGCAGATTTTTCACTGCCCAGGGGTTGGCTCACCTCACTCCCACACTGTTCAAGAGTCAGCTGTATAACCAGAAAAATGAGGTAGGTCACCTGTGGTCTAAATCTTTATCAGGCAAATCAGCTGTGACAGCTGACTTGTAACCTCAATGAGGGGGAGGGCAAGAGAAGAGGTGATGGAGAACATGGGAAATGGAAGCCTTATGGACTCGAGTTGTACAAGTCAGAGAGACAGAGAGAATGGGAGGGAGACGAGATGAAGACAGAGACACATCAACATCTCCTGCACTGGGACATCAGTGCTCCTGGTTCTCAGGCCTTCACACCCAGGCTGGTATTTACACCCTCAATCCCCCACTGGTTCCCAAGCTTTTAGGATGAACTGGGGCTCCACCACTGGCTTTTCTGGGCCTCCAGCTTGCAGACAGCAGACTGTGGAACTCCCCTCTGTAATCCTGTGGCCACTCCCTCATATATCTTTCTACCTATCGATTCTGCTTCTCTGAGGAACCCTGGCTCATACAATCTCCATTTACTATTTTCAAAAGCTCTATTGGATGCTCTGAATTGTTCAAAGATTTAAGACATTGCCATCAATTCAAGGCTTCCGTTCACTTCTCCGATACTTCTCGTACCAGATGTCTCCAACTGCCTTCACTTTCTTAGCCTCCATTTACTCTTCAGTCTACTCAGCTCTGACTTCAGTCTATACCACAGCAGGAAAACCTCCTATGCAAGGTCATTGACAACCTCCTGCCTGCGGACTGGGAAGGACAGTTCTCGGGGTTCCGGTCAGCAGCGTTTGATATCATTACCTTTTACTTAAAATGC